TTGCCAGACTCATGCCCTGCCTTCAGAGGGTCTGGCACCCTGAACTTTCACTCAGTCCCTCTGCAGACCCCCAGGCTGGAGCGCTCCATCCACTCCTGTGGATGGCCCTGATCCCTTGGACAGTCTACGTGATTGGCAAAAGGCAAAGAACATTTGGAGAAGAAAGCCAGCCCCATTTGAAAAGGTAAGAGCATGAGAGGGATGGGGAAGCAGCCTGAGAAAGAAAGTCTTGAGGAAGGTGTGAGCCCCTCACATCATGTGAAGACAGTCACCAGGTGCTGAACCTACCCACAGTGCGGAGCCTGCGTTCTTGGTGGGTTGGGTGGAAGAGGTACATGTGCGACAGCTCTTGCAAAGTCATACTGACTTGTTCCATATGGCGGGCAACACTGATGAAACATGAATGTAGCATGTTTCCATTTATCCTTGAGCAATTTGGGCCAGATCATCATTCCAGTTTGTAGTTGTTTTCTCTAAGTATAGCACCCTGGGAAGAAAGAAGGAGTTTTCTTTGAGATGGGAAAGGAGTAGTCTTGCCTGTCTCCTGCAGCCACGACTCAGTCCCCAGGATTCATGGCCAAGTGTCCAGTGTGGCTATGCTGGGAACTGACCAAGGTCTGGATCTGGCCAGCCCATGTAGGTGTGGCAAGCAGCTCCATTTACCCTCCTTCACCTCTCCTAACTGGCTCTCAGAGTCCAGGGGTGATGTTCCTCTGCATGCAGAATTCACCAGCACTGTCCTGCAAAGCTAGAAGGCCCACAGGACGAAGGAGAGCTGATGAAGAGGACACACAGAATCCCACCTGCCCACAGCCCAGCAGCTGGGGGTGCCCATGGCCACAGTTACCTCTTCCTTTAGGCCATCGTGACCTAACAGAGCTTGTATCCTGGGCTGCTTTCACTAGCACTGGAGCCTCAGGACTCTGGGCACCCTGGGCTGGGGTAGGGGTCTGCCTTTTCTGCCTGCTCTTCCTTGCTCCAGGTGAGTCCCTGCAGATGCTTTCCCATCATACAGACCAGAGCATGGAGTTGTGTTCCTAGGGCCAATGACCAGTGTCCCATTCTTAGACTCAAATGCAAACTCCTATTTGGTGAGAGCAATCCCTTAAAAGCTAAAACATTTGAAGACAATTAGCTTTCACCTCTCATTTCTGCCATGGCTACCCAGACTCCATGGTGGCACTCACTTCACAGGAAACCTTTGTTCTGTCTACTCAGCACATAGCATGTCATCTTGGACTCTTCCTTGGTGAATACTATAAAAACTGCTAACATGAGCACCAGGATACACATGCATTTCAACCTCCTGGAGAAACTCTGAATTTATGCCTGTTGGAAGAAGCGTTCAGGGCTAGTGGACTAGAGGAACACTTCCTCTTCTTTCTTCAAACCCAGTGGAAACCATGGGGTCTAACCAACCAACCAGGAAGACCCATCATTGACAGGGAATGGATGTAAAACACGCGAGGGCAACATGCATTCATGTACCAAGGCTTCATCATGCACCTGCTATTCATGGTGCAGACATGTGGTGCTTAAATTCTCACATTCAAACATGAGAGCACCAGCAAGCAAAACAATGGGCATAGCTGGAGTAGATAGGGATCAATGCCCAGGCAGAGAGCCAGGTGCAGAGCTCCAAAATAATGTCAAATAGAACGGTGATAGCCAGCTGCTTTCCTATTTTTGTTTTTAGAGTGCATGCTTCTATCTTCTCCCTGAGGTAAAGAAGAATGGAGATAGCATCCTTTCCTGGCCGCGATTTTAGAGTGCGTGCTCCTAGCTCTTCCCCATCTGTGATGATGTTTGCTTCATGCTTTGTTGTTGTTGTTTTTGGATACTCTCCATCAAGTTAGGGAATTTCCCTTCTTTTCCACTTTACTAAGCTTTTTTAATCATGTATTTCTGATGGCCATTATTAAATGCCTTCCTATTGTATTAAAATGAGCTTGTCTCTGTTTTATTCTACTAATATGAATTATATGTGTATATTTTGTAATATTATTCTATCATTACATTCCTGCAATAAGGAAACTAAGAATATCAAAGACAAAGGAGTGGAGGAGAGGAAATGAATGTGTCATGTGTAGATGACCTGGTTTCACTATGTTGAAAATCCAGAAGAATCTACAGACAAATTATCCTAATAGTTGGAAAATTTATCAAGTTGGCTAGATTGAAGATAAAATATAAACAATCATGTGTATACATAAGCAACAAACATCTGGTACATACATTTAAAAAGATGACAGCATTTACCAAAATACAACAAAATATTAAAAAAACTAAAAGTATTTAGGATTACCTAACAAAGGAGGAGAAGAATTATAAAACGTTATTGAGATGTTAAAGGCAAATGAATGGAGAGATATCCAATGTTCATGGATATGAAGGCTTAATGTCATAAATATAATTGTCTCCAAATCAATCTATAGATTTAATGCAATTCAAATTAAAGTCCTGACATAGTCTTAAATGTACACTAAAAACATGTTTTAAAGGTTATAATTCATGTGGAAGGGTAAGGTCCAAGAAGAATAAGGCAGATACATTTTCCCTTCGAGATACCAAATGTTATTGTGATGCTGTAGTAATTACAATGTGGTGGTGCATATGCAGGGACAAAAATGGACTGGTAATGGATAATTGATAGTGAAACAGAGCCTAGGATTGGAGCCTTTCATATATGGAACTTCAATACATAACTGAGGTGGCATAGGGATCAGTGGGGAGAGGAAAGGTGCTGCCGCATGGGGGAAGTGAAATAAGAACTCCACCTCACGCTTCATACAAAAATAAATGACAATGAGAACATTTGAAAACTTTAGTTTAAAATATGGACAGGTTTCCAATAATGGAAAACAATATAATGAGGGCCCCCAAAGAAGACAACTAAAACTTCATGACAACACACAGAAGCCATTGCCATGGAAGCAGGAAACATCTAAACATGGTGAATCACCTGACCCAGGGGAGCGAGGTGAGTCAGGCATTCAGGGCTGTTGCTTCCTTTCAGAAATGGCAGCTAAATGACTTTGTGTCACTTTTGGCAATGTTTTGAGTTAGGGAAACAATGTAGGAGTCCAGGATCCACCGCGGGTGTGAACCATGGTAAACCACACCTGCTCCGGGCTGGACAAGAAGGGATGCACCCCAAGAATGAGTCACAGTGAGCTGGCCCTACCATGGACTGCAGCCCAGCCTTGAATCACACGGTGGCTCAGAAAATCTCAAACCCAAACTTGGTGTAAGGTAACTCCAGATTGCTAGTGCACCCTGGCTTAGAGAAGCAAACAAAAATCCTGTTGGGTAATGGTTATATCACCCTTAGCCTAAAATTATCTCTCAAAATAACATTTAAATACCTCCCAGCACATAAACAAAGATGACCAGAAACATGAGATAATATACCATGAGTGAAAACCAGCAGAAAAACAGACCTGAAGAAATCCAGATACTTGAATTATTGCCAGAAACTGTAAAATAAATTGTGCTTATTATGTGCAAGGGGATAAGGCTAGGCTTGTAAACTTCTGTAACAGCTGGAAACTGTAAGTTTGACAAAGGAGGTTTTAAAAAGAACCAAATAGAACTTTCAAAAATGAACAACACAAAAATAAAAATTCAGAACTCATTGAATGGCTTTAATAACAGTTTAGACCCAGATGAAGAGAGATTCCATGGACTAGAACACAAGTCAGAAGAAACTACTCAGAATGGGAAGGGAAAAAAAGAAAAATTCCGAAAAGAAGCACAAATGTACTTTAGTGCTACGTGTGTGTGGTTTCTTTTTTTTAATGAAAAAGTGCTATTTCTGGTTTTAATAAAATAACAAGAAAAACTTCTATTTCTGGCCAAGGTGGAGTAACAGGGACCAGATTTACATTTCATCTGAAACCACCAAAAAATACAAAAAGAGTAAATATAGGAAACTGGTTTTCAAGACCTGAACGTGGGGCAGTGAACAATTGTGATCCCTGAAAGACAGGACTAAATGGATTATCCCCAGGATTGTCTCCACTTCTAGGCAACAGCACAGAAGGAAGGGACCCAAGTGGAGCCTGGAGGAGCACCTGAGACAACGAGACAGAAGTGAGAGTGCAGGGGGGCCAAGGTGGCTCGAGTTCTCAGGACAGCGTACAAAGAGGGGAGAGCTGCCGAAAGGGAGAACTCTGGAGTGTTGAGGAGGGTCCCCTTTGGGTGCTCAGCTGAGTAGTGATCAGCACAAGCGTGTGAGATAACTGCCCAAGGCTGGGTAAAGAATCTCCCAAAAGAATTAGAGGGAACGGTGCCCAGTGCTCATACAGGGCTGGGCATAGTGCCTGTTCCTACCAGCCCTGAAAAGCTCACAATTCACAGGGCACTGGAAGTTCATGCCTCAGTAGTGAGGAATAACTAGCACTAGATTGAGCACTGCCCCAGACCCACCTAACAAATCATAAAAGCAAGACCTGAAAGATCTAGGTATTTATATTCAAGCAACTTAAATGCATCCCAGATCAAAGCTCAGGAAGGTGTGTAGGAATACAAAAATATCCAGCACCAACAAGGCAAAATTCACAACTTCTGGCATCCACTCAGGGAACACTGGGCGTGCAAAGAAGTGAGAAAACACAACCTGTAAGGAGAACTTTAAAAAAAATGGAAAATGACCAATGTTGGCAGGGATGTGGAGAAAATGGAACCCTTCTGCACTGTTTGTGGGAATGTAAAATGGTACAGCCATTGTGGAAAACAGTATGGTGGTTCCTCAAAAAATTAAACATAGAACTACCATATGACCCAGAAATTCCACTTCTGAGTATATACCCAAAAGAATTGAAAGCAGAGACACAGAGATATTTGTACTCCCATGTTCATAGCAGCATTATCCACAATAGCTAAAATGTGGAAGCAACCCAAGTATCCATTGATGGATGAGTGGATAAACAAAATGTAGTATATACATACAATGGAATACTTAAAAAACAAGGAAATCATTTCACATGCTACAACATGAATGAACCTTGAGGACACTGTGCTAAGTGAAATAAGCCAGTAACAAAAAGATAAATACTGCATGGTTCCACTTATATTAGGTCCCTAGAGTAATCAAAATCATAGACACAGAAAATCATGGTGGTGGTTGCCAGGGGCTAGGTGGAGGGGAGAATGGGAAGGTATTATTTAATGGGTAAAGAGTCTTAATTTTGCAAGAATGAAAGAGCTCATGGTGGTGATGGTTGCATAATAATGGAAATGTAATTAATACCACTGAACTCTACATTTAAAAATGATTAAGATGGTAAATTTTATGTTATGTGTATTTTTACTACAATAAAAAAATTGGGAAAAAAAGAATGAAGTTCTGATACATGCTGCAACATGGATCAGCATTGAAAACATTAGCTCATTGAAATAAGCCTGATACAAAAGGACAAATATTGTATGATCCCACTTATATAAGGTTCCTAGAGTAAGCAAATTCATAGACACAGAAAGTGGAATAGAGGTTGCCAGGGGCTGGGGGAGGAGGATGGGGAGCTGTTTCTTACAAGTTACAGAAACTCTGGTTGGGGTTATTAAAAGTTTTGGAAATAGATAGTGGTGATGGTGCACAACATTATGAATGTAATTAATGCCATTGAATTATACACTTAAAAATAGTTAAAATGTCAAATTTTATGTTATATATATTTTGCCACACTTTAAAAAATTGATAATGTAATGTACCAAAGACCATTGAATTGTATACTTTAAATGGGTGAGCTGTATGGTATGTGGATCATATTTGAATAAAGCTGTTAAAATATTTTTGAAAAGGACTCTACTAGAAAAGAAAATATAAGCCAATATTCCAGATGAATATAGATGCAAAAATTCTCAATAAATACTAGAAAACTGAGTTCACCAGCACATTGAAAGGATCATTCACCATGATTGAGGGGGATTTATCCCTGGGATGCAAAAATGGTTCAACATATGCAAATCAATCAATGTGATACACCACATTAATAGAATGAAAGAAAAGAATCAGATGATCTTCTCAACAGACACAGAAAAAGCATTTGACAGAATTCAACATCCATTCACGATAAAAACTCTTAACAAATTAGGCATAAAGGAACATATCTCAACATAACACAGGCCATATATGACAAGCCCACAGCTAACATCATACAACATAAACATGATGAAAGGTTGAAAGCTTTTCCTCTAAGATTAGGAACAAGACGAGGTGCCCTTCTCACCACTCCTATTCAATATAGTATTGAAAGTCCTAACGAGAGCAATTAGGCAAGACAAAGAAATAAAATTAATCAGAATTGGAAAAGAAGAAGTAAAATTGTGTCTATTTGCAAATGACATGATTTTACATATAGAAAATCCTAAAACCACCAAAAAACTGTTAGATCTAGTCAATGACTTCAGTAAAGTTGCAGGATACAAAATTAACTTACAAAAATCAGTAGCGTTTCTCTACATTAAGCGTGAATTATCAGAAAAAGAAATAGATCCCACTTACAATAGCATCAAAAACAATAAAATACTTAGGAATAAATTTAACCAATGAGGGGAAAGAGTTCTACTATGAAAACTACAAGACAATGATGAAAGAAATTGAGGAAGACACAAATAAATGGAAAGGTATCCTGTGTTCATGGATTGGAAGAATTAATATTGTTAAAATGTCCATACTACCAAAAGCCACTGATAGATTCAATGCAATCCCTATCAAGATTCCAATGGCGTTTTTTTTTTACAGAAGTAGAAAAAACACTCCTAAAATTTATATGGAACCACAAAAGACTCTGAATAGCCAAAAAAAATCCTGAGAAAGAAGAACAAAGCAGGAGGCATCACACTTCCTGATTTCAAGCTGTACTAGAACGCTACGGGAATCAAAAGAGTATGGCACTGGCATAAAAACAGACAAGTAGACCAATGGAACAGAATCAAGAGCCCAGAAATAAACCTAAGTATATATAGTCAACTAACATTTGACAAAGGAGCCAAGAATACTCAATGGAGAAAAGACAGTCTTTTCAATAAATGGTGCTGGGGAAACTGGATATTCAGTGTAAAAGAATGAAACTTGACCCCTATCTTACCCCATTCACAAAAAATAACTCAAAATGGATTAAAGACTTAAACATAAGACCTGAAACCATAAAACCCCCAGAAGAAAACATAGGAATAAAGCTCCTTGGCATGGGTCTTAGTAATGAATTTTTGGATATGACACCTAAATATGAGCAGCAAAATAAAAAATAAACAAGTGCGACTACATCAAACTAAAAAGCTTCTGTAAAGCAAAAGAAAGCATCAACAAAGCGAAAAGACAACCTATGAAAGGGGAAAAAATATTTGCAAACTATATATCTGATAAGGGATTAATATCCAAAATATATAAAGAACTCATACAACTCAATAGCAAAAAAACACAAATAACCCAATTAAAATATGGGCTAAGGACCTGAATAGACATTTTTCTGAAGAAGATACATGAAAGACCAACAGGTACATGAAAAGATACTCAACATCACCAATCATTAGGGAATTGCAATTTAAAACCACGATGAGATATCACCTCACATCTGTTAGAATGGCCATCATCAAAAAGATGAGATAAATGCTGGCAAGGATGTGGAGAGAAGAGAACTCGTGTGAATTGTTGGTGGGATAGTAAAATGATGCAGCCACTATGGAAAACCACATATAGGATTCTGAAAAAATTAAAAATAGAACTACCATATGAGCCAGCAATTCCACTTCTAGCTATATATCTGAGGGAAATGAAAACACTAACATGAAAAGATATCTGCACCCTTATGTTCATAGCAGCTTTATTTACAACAGTCAAGCCAAAGAAATAACCTAAGTGTCCCTTGATAGATGAATGGATGAAGAAGTTGTGGCATATATATAAAATGGAATATTATTCAGCCTTAAAAAATGAGGAAATCCTACCATTTGTGGCAACGTGGATAGACCATGAAGGCATTATGCTAAGTGAAATAAGTCAGGCAGAGAAAGACAAATACTGTATGATCTCACTAATACATAAAATGTAAAAAAAAAAAAAAACTAGAAAAAGAGATCAGATTTATGGTGATCAGAAGCAGATCATGGGGGAGGGGGAATTGGAGGAAGGTGGTCAAAGGTACCAACTTGCAGTTTTCGGATAATAAATCCTGGGATGTGATGTACAGCATGGTGACTGCAGCTAACACTGCGGTATGATATATAGGAAGGCCGTTAAGAGAGTAAATCCCAAGAGTTCTCATCACGAGGAGAATTTTTTTTCTTTTTTCTCTTTTTTCTTTTTATTGTGTCTATATGAGAACCTATTGTGGCAATCATTTCACAATATATGTAAATCAAACCATCATGCTGGACACCTTAAACTTATACAGTGATGTATTCCAATTATTTCTCAATAAAACTGGGGAAAAAAAAGAACACAGATCATCTCTTTAAGACAATTTTTAAATGTGAACAGCTTTTGGTTTCCTGTCTGGCATGCAAGAAGCTTTGAAGTCATCACTGCATCCTCACAATCAAATGAAAGCTGAACAAACTGAAAATCAACAGTGCTTGTTCGGTCCCTCAGAGAAGTGAGATCACAGGGCAAACGCTGCGCCCAGAATTGGAGAGACAGAGGTGAGTCCAGAGAGTCACACTTACTGCAGCAGAACCTCCCTAGGAGTCAGCGCTGGCTTGGAAAACCCAAACCTTAACTGACAACTTGCTGGAGGCTCGTGTGGACAAGTCTGAGAGTTTAAAAGTCTCGGGAGCCTACACTCCTGTGAGTTTTACCTCCAGGAGCCACAGCAGGTTCTCACAGTGATGACTGGAGAAAAACTCCTTCTGCTTCAGGCAGGGGAGGGGAAAAGTAGCCATTGTGAAATATGCCAGAGACTCTGCTCTTCTTAGCAAGGCCTGCCCTCCAGAGAACCTGTTCCACCAAGCCTGACCTGCTGGGGTTTTATCAGAGCCTAACCAACTTGGGGGAAGGGAAATACCCAACTGTAGCCAACTCTAGCCATCCTGTCCCACCTAAGGAGAGGGGAGGGAATTGAGAAGCACTGATAAAGTTCACAGTCTAGAGACACAGGCTCACTAAAGGGCTGAGATCTAATCATTGGACTATAAAATGCTTCCCCTCCCTCACACCTCACTACTACATCACTAAAGGCCTGTTTGCAGCATTTCCTTTTACTTGGTACATCATGTCTGGCTATCAAGAAAAAATTACAAGGCATACTAAAAGACAAAAACCAGAGTTTGAATAGACAGAGCAACCTCGGAACCAGTTGTGGTAGGGATGTTGGAATTATCAGACTGGGAATTTAAAACAACTATGATGATTATGCTAAGGACTCTAATGGATAAAGTAGATAGCATGCAAAAACATATGGGCAATGTAAGCAGATATGGAAATTCTAAGAAAGAATCAAAAAGAAATGCTAGCTGTCAAAAACACTGTAACAGAAAGGAATGTTTTTGATGGGCTCATTAGTAGACTAGATACAGCTGAGGAAAGAATCTATAAGCTTCAGGACGTGTCAACAGAATCTTCCAAAATGGAAAAGCAAAGAGAAACAAGACTGGAAAATAAAAAAAACAGAACAGAATACTCAAGGACTGTGGGACAACTACAAAAGGTGAAGCATATGTGTAATGGGAAGCAGAAGCAAGACAAAAAGGAACAGAAGAAATATTTCAAGCAATAATGACAGAATTTTCCCCCAAATTAATGTCAGACACCAAACCACAGATCCAGGAAGCTCAGAGTACACCAAGCAGGATAAATGAAAAAACAAAAACAAAAACAAAAAAACCACTACACCTAAGCATATCATATTCAAACTTCAGAAAATCAAAGATCAAGAAAAAATCTTGAAGGGAGTCAAAGGAAAAATAATCACCTTACCTATAGAGGAGCAAATCCCATGGACATTAAAATGATAATAAAGGAATACTATAAACAACTCTATGCCAACAAATTTGATACCTAGATGAAATAGACCAATTCCCTGAAGGGCACAATCTGTCAAAACTCACATAAGAAGAAGTAAACAATTTGAATAGACCTATATCTATTAAAGAAATTGAATCAATAGTTAATAACATCTGCAAACAGAAAGCATCAGGAACAGGTGGGTTCACTGGTGAATTCTACCCAACATATAAGAAAGAGCTTATATTAACTCTCTACAATCTCTTCCAGAAGGTAGAAGGAGAAGGAATACTTCCTAACTCATTCTATGAGGCCAGCATTTCCCTAATACAAAACCAGACAAAGAAAATAAATGTACAGACCAATATCTCTTATGACCATAGATGCAAAAATCCTCAACAAAATATTAGCAAAATCAAATACAACAATGCATAAAATAATTATACTCAGTGACTTGTATAAAATAATTATACAAGTGGGATTTATCCCAGGTGTGCAATGTTAGTTCAATATTCAAAAATCAATATAATCCATTATATCAGCAGACTAAAGAAGAAATGTAGAAAAAGCATTTGACAAAATCCAACACCCATTCATGATAAAAACTCCCAGCAAACTAGAAACAGGCAAGAACTTCCTCAATTTGATAAAGAACATCTACAAAAAGTCTACAGCTAGCATCATACTTAATGGTGAGAAACTAAAAGCTTTCCTGCTAAGATCAGGAACAAGGCAAGAGTGTTCTCTTTCTCCATTCCTTTTCCACATTGTACTGGAAGTCCTAGCTAATGCAATAAGAGAAGAAAAGGAAGTAAAAAGTATACTGATTGGGAAGGAAAAAATAAAACTGTCTTTGCTTGCAGATGACATGATTGTCTATGTAGAAAATCTGAAAGATTCGACAAAAAAACTTATGGAACTAACAAGTGATTGTAGCGAGGTTGCAGGATACAAGGTTAATATACGAAAAACAGTTGCTGTCCTATATGCCATCAACAAATATGTGGAATTTGAAATTAAAAACACCGCCCAAAATTAAATACTTAGGTAGAAATTTAACAAAATAAGTACAAGGTCTATATGAAGAAAACTGCAAAACTCTGATGAAAGAAATCAAAGAAGGGCTAACTAAATAGAGAGATAGTCCATGTTCATGGATAGGAAGACTCAATATTGTCAAGATGTCAGTTCTTCGCAACTTGATCTGTAGATTCAATGCAATCCCATAGAAATCCCAGCAAGTTATTCTGTGGATAGCAACAAACTGATTCTAAAGTCTATATGGAGAGGCAAAAGACACAGAATGGGCAACTCAACACTGAAGGAGAAGAACAAAGTCAGAGATCCTCAGACTTACTGTGAAGCTACAGCAATAAAGACAGTGTGGTATTAGTGAGAGAACAGACAAATAGACCAATGGAACAGAATAGAGAGTCCAGACATAGATACATGTACACAATACACTGTATTCCTCATGAGTACAGTCAGCTGATCTTTGACAAAAGAGCACAAGCAATACAATATAGCAAAGATGGTCCTTTCAACCAGTGGTGCTGGAGCAACTGGATATCCACATGCAAAATTTTTTTTAAAAAGGAAACTAGACACAGACTTTACATTCTTCTCAAAAACTAACTTAAAATGGATCATAGGCCTAAATGTAAAACACAAAACTATAAAAATCCTAGAAGATAACATAAGAGGAAACCTAGATGGCCTTGGTTATGGTGATGACTTTTTAGATAGAACACCAAAGGCACAATGCATGAAAAAAAGAATTGATAAGCTGGACTTGATTAAAATTTAAATTTTCTGCTCTGTGGAAGACACTGTCAAGAGAATGAGAAGACAAGCCACAGACTGAGAGAAAGTAGCAAAAGACATACCTGATAAAGGACTGTTATCCAAAGGATTGAATGAATAAATAAACTGTGGTACATCCAGACAATGGAATATTATTCAGTTCTAAAAAGAAATGAACTATCAAGCCATGAAAAGACATGGAGGAAACTTAAATGCATATGACTAAGTGAAAGAAGCCAACCTGAAATGGCTCCATACTGTATGATTCCAACCATATGACATTCTTGAAAAGGCAAAATATATGGAGACAGTAAGAGAATCAGTGGTCGCCAGGGATTGAGGGGAGTGAGAGATGGATAGGCAGAGCACAGAGGGCTTTTAGGCCAGTGAAACTACTCTGTAAGATACCATTTATAATGGTGGATACATTTGTCCAAACCCATAGAATGTACAACATCAAGAGTGGACCCTAAGGTGAACTATGGACTTTGGGTGATAACGATGTGTCAGTGTAGGCTCATCTGTTGTAACAAATGCACGCCTCTGGTGTGAGATTTTGATAGTGGAGATGCTATGCACATGTGGGGACAGGGAGTATATGGGAAATCTCCATACCTTCCATTCAATTTTGCTGTGAACTTAAAACTGCTCTAAAAACAAAGTCTACTTGAAAAAATAAAGAAAGGGAGGAAGGAAAGGAAGGAAAGAAAGGAGTCTCTAGTTCCAGCAATATCAAAATCCAGCAGGGAAAATCTCATTAGGTTTTGAGACCAGAGAATAATCCTCTGTGATTCAAGGCTTTGCCCTCTGGACCCAAGACCCTACTCTTGGAGTCATTCTTCCTTGGTCATGGAGAGTAGAACATGTCCACAGCTCAGTGGATCTATCAGCCTGTTTCCTGCCTGTAGAGTTCTGGAAGTCCAACAGCCTTTTCCACTTTGTCTCTTTCAGTCTAAGCAGGCGGTGTTTCTGCTGATATAACATTCTCAATAACCTTGTGGGTCTCCTGTGTTTGTCATGGGGGTCCACACCATCAGACAAGAGGGTCCTCCACAGACCTTTCCAGGGTAACCCCACCTCATTCTCGGCTTCTGCTGAGATGGTTGAGTGCACCCATGAATCACACACTTGATGTATTCAGCCACACCATTGTCTTTCTCTCCTGTGCACACTTTCCTAACCACAAATATCCTAATTTTAGCATCTTTTGCAATCTGGACAGGCTGAGAATTTCCCAAATCATCAGGTGCTGGTTCATTTTTGCTTCATAGTTCCTTTCTCAGTTTATCTCTTTCCTCGTACATTTTACTCTAAACGGCAAGGAGAAACCAGGCTGCACCTTCAACACTTTACGTAGAAATAGCCTCAGGTTCGTTGTTTACAAGTTCTGCTTTCCACTCACCGGTAGAACACAATTCAGCCAAGTTCTTTGCCGCTTTGTAACAAGTTTCCAGTAAAATCTTACTCATTTCCTTCTAAGCACTTACTGGCAGAGTCTTTAACATCCATATTTCTACCAATACTCATTCAAGGCCGTCGAGCCTTTTTCTATCACGTGTCTCAAAATTTTTCAAGCCATTTCTTAATTCCAAAGCCATTTCCACATTTTAGGTGTTTGTTGCAGTGGCACCCACTTCCAGATGGATCTGCCATAATACAGTACTACAAACTAGGTGGCTTGAAACTACAGAAGTGTATTATCCCACAGTTCTGGGGGACAGAATTCTGAAATTAGGGGGTTGGCCAAGCATGTCCTCATGTGGGCTCCTCTGAGGCTCTCTCGAGCTCATCCAGATTGTTGGCAGAATTCAGCTCCTTGTGGTAGTGGTTCTGGCTGTCAGCTGGGCCACTCAGAGCTCCTGGAGGTCACCCACATTCCTTGCCCTGTGGCCCCTCCCTCTCCACACCAGCAGCAGCAGGTCAAATGCTCATTCTGAGCATCTTGGGCATCCCTTCTGAGACCAGCTGGAGATAACTCTGCATTTAAATAAAGGGCCTCCTGTGATTAGATATCTCGGATATCTCCCTGTCTTAAGGTCCACCAATCTAGGACCCGGATTTCACCTGCAGAATCCCTTCACAGCAGCACCTGTGAAGGGAATAACTGTTTGGTTGAATAACTGAGAGAAGCTGTGTGCACACCAGGGCAGGAATCTTGGGGGCATGTTAGGAACTGCCCCTCTCTGTTTCCACCGTTCAGGAAAGCCATGGTCCAGCCCTCACTCCTTGCTTACTCACAGGGAGTCGATGCATCAGCCCTCGGTGCTGGCTCTCCTAGCCGTCTGTGGGGCCTTGGAAAGTTACTTCTCACCTCCAAACATCCGTTTCTGCATCTATAACGTGGGGATCCTGGAGATCCAGTGTCACAACCAGGCAGAGTCCCTGGCCCAGGCTGTTACTGCCTCTCTGCTCATCGTCACCAAACCTGGCTCCTCACAGTGGCTTCAGGAGCTGGGAGACAGTGAAGACAGGGCTTTGTGAAACCGCTCCTGTTCCAGGAGCCCCTCAGTGCTGTGGCCCTGGAAAAAGTCCCCTTTCTCTCCTTCAAGTGTTTGAGGAGACAGAAGGGGCACAATGAAGCCCATCGTGAGGGCTGCGACCGTGGGGACTTAACCTCACCCTCTTGGCCTGACAGGCGAGGTGACCAGGCGCCTCTGTCTTCTCATCAGGAACCTCTTGCTGTTGTTCCAGGCAGGCTAATTGCAGGGTGACAGCCAGACCAGAACCTGCAGCTGGCCAGGGAGGTATGGCCAGGCACTCACAGTGAAAGTGGCTGGTGGACACCAGCCCCACCCACAGAAACATATGGTTTGCTTCATATTATCGGCGTGTTTTTGATTTAATGGTTTCTATCATGGTGCATCCTGTTTACAGCAGTGAAGTCAGGACAGACAGGAGGTAATTGTCTGTAAACACAGGGCGCTGCCCTCATGCCAGTGACCAGGGGAGCAGGGGTCCGAGAGGGGACGTCACAGTTTGCCACCCTTGGTGGGCGCAGCTCACTGCATCAGCATAGCAGTTCAGAGGGAGGAGACAGAGGTAAGAGACAGGCCTGAGCACCCAGGCCTCTGCAGGGCTCACCTGCTCCATGTGAGATGCAGACGCAGGGATGAGCCAGGCGGGTTAATGCCAGCCACACGTTTCTGATGGGGAGCTGGCCCTGCCTGGTCCAAGAGCAAGTCTGGAGCACCCTGACCTCTGGGGCTTGAATCTTTTCTGTTTGGAAGCAGGTCCCTGAGTTTCATTCCTCCCTACAGCATTTCAGTGCCTCAGACATCGAGCATTCCTCACAGTTATCCAGCACAGGTGGTGAGCTCCCTGTCACTGAAGGTGTTCCAAGAACCAGGGTGCTCCCAAACAGTGGCCACTCTAGAGATGGCCTCACCTTTGCAGAGAGATGGACAGGGGGACCTCTCAGGTCCTTGTAATGAGGTTCAGAAGGCTGCCTTCCTAAACACTTGTTACAAGAGGGTCCCTGGCTCAAATTGCTCATATTCGGGTTCAAGACAAGTCTAGCCCCCCTAGCTGGCCCTGAGGTCATCGCTTTGTTCAACAAACACCCCCTCGGCCCTTGAGAGGGAAGAGAGGCCATCCCTGCCCCAGAGGGGATCAGTGTCCATGTCCAGAGGGGGGCAGAGCTCCTTGGATGGCACCCAGGGCCCCGGGGACTCCCTCTGACTGAAACACAGCAGAGAGCAGTCAGGGGCATCTGAAATTCTGCAGTGTGCCCAGGACTAAGGGCTACTGACAGATCTCATGATGGATTGACAGATTGCAGAGAGCGAAGCCGACCTGTCCGGAGCCTGGGAGCCTTTCCAGAAGTGGCCACGGAGTCACAGAGACAGAGACAGAGGTGCTCAAGGCGACGGGCCAGGACTCTAGTCTTCTCTCTCCTCTTTGCTCTAGAGCTAAAGGAACAGCGAAGGAAGGGACCACCTGCAGGAAGGCGCCTGGTGGAGGGAGCAGAGACAAGGCTGTGGCCTGTGTTCTCAGGTCCCGCCCGCTGACCTGGCTCTTCACAGGAAGTGTGCAGGCCAGAGACAAGGAGACAAGGCAACAAGGCAGTTTGCTCCAGGGTGAGCCCGGAGCAGGCCCAGAGGGGACACTGGAGTGCTGATTAGGGTCTGGGTGCTTCGGTGAGACCCACATGGGCCGGGATCCTCCACTCTTCCAGGGGGGCCCACCAGGGTCAAGTGGTGCCATTTGTACCCGTAAGATCATATTGGGCACACAGTCAGCACCAAAGCCCGTGTAGGGCTCTGACTGCGTGAGGTCAGGAGACGGCTCCCGAGGGGTTGCCGGGGGGAGAAATTACTTTTTATTGCCCTAAACCTTGAAGCCCCCAGCTTGGGTATGTCTCTGAGCAAAGTGTCTCAGGGGGTGGTGGGGCGAGGAGGCAGGAAGCAGAAGCCTGGACTGGGGTCCTGGGGAGAGGAGGGTGGGTGTTCCTAAGGCCCCTTCCTGTAAAGAAGAGGCCTCGGTGCCTGGGACAAGCAGTCCTGTGGGAG